ATATATATATATATATATATATATATATATATATATATATATATATAAATAAATAAAAGAAATGGCCGAATGTGCAGGACTTAAGAGCAATGAAACTTTCTGTGCCTAACATGTGTTCGGGGGTTAGGGGAGAGGTTCACGACTTTTTAAATATTTGTCAACTACGGTTGTGTTTTCACCAGGTTAAATAAACTTCGTTGTCATTCTTCACCCAAGGAAAAGACATGTTATTGCTGTATGAACATGAGTGGATGCCTATGCTACTGGTAGCATTGTAGCACTGTAGGATGTCTGCTCCTACGGTTCCCTTGTCTCGAGGTCAACGTGTTTCATGGATGGGTTTTTGGTTAGATGCCTGAAATAAGGTCTGTGGTTAACAGAAGCTGAAAGGATTTGAAACGAGTTGTTCGGGTTAGAAGAGAGACTGAACGTCATCACTGGGACTCCTTTAGCTTAGTGTAGGTGACGTGAAGTCACGTGACCATGCTGTAGTTTGTTTATAGCCCAACGTTAGCTTTTTATTTCTTCGACATGAAAAAAAAAAAAGCATTAAAAAATGAGATCTAAGTCGACTGAGAGCAATAAAACCGGTTATTAAAAATATTCGACAGAGAGAGAGGGCGGCCCTGCTTCCTGTGCTGATTACCTTGAATCTGCTGCAGTAGATTTTGGCTCCCGCTGGCTCACTGAGCTCCTTAAGCACATTACCTGAAGGTGATAACGTGATGTTAACTTCCGTCTCATCATTTGAGCTTCACAGAAATCCTGAGAAAGAAAAGCAGATGTTTCGTACCGTTTCCTCCCGCCCCCTGATCGTGTATACTGCAGATCGGGTTCCCGCCGCTTCTTTCCAGACACGCCCTGAGAGCTCGGTTCATCTTCTGCTCCATCTCAGCGTCTCCCCTCTGCACCGCACCCAGATCCCTGGCGCTGGAGTTGTCCCCCTGGACCTGCAAGCCACAACGTATTTAAAAACTTCTGCACCAGGCGAGGTCGCTGCCGTGTGATTTACTGTTGGCGAACGTACTTGTACAGAGGAGGCCGCTCCTCCTCCCACGCCGATTCTGTACACGGGCCCTCCGATCTTCACCACCTCCATTCCTGATCGGACGAGCAGAGGGACACCGCGAGTCATTAATCGATGAGTGTGTGTAAATGTAGCCTCTGCAATGATTAAACACGCTGAGCCGAAGCATTACCCGTCTCTGCCTCTTCTTTCTTTACATGCGTATCTTCGATAGAACCGAGACCACCGCTGAACATGATCGGCTTGATCCACTCTCGCCGCTCTCCGTTAGCCAGCCGCATGCCGAAAGAACGGGCAAAACCTAGGAGGAGGGAATCAAAAGAAAAGATGAAACAATTCAACATCGATCAATCCGTCGGTAGACCGACAGAAAATCAATTACAACAAATGAAAACAGATCATTTAACAGATAAATAAAGAATGAAGTGTTGGAAGAAAACCGAGGCACGCTTCAGCGGGGCTCCTACCCGACAGGACAGGTTCTCCAAACTTGTTGCCGTAGTCCGAGGCTCCATCGCTGGCCTCAACGGCCACCTGCAGCGGCGGGGCGAAGCTGGAGGGATACTCCCAGTCCTCTCCCTCAGACTCCCAGGGGAGATCGTACCCTGCGGTGACGGACAGCGAGAAAAACAACATATGTATTACTAACCATCGAACATTTCAAGAGAAGAAAGGGAAGCTCGCCGGTTTACAGACCTGGTATGTGCAGGTTGCCGAAGCAGTACCCGGCGGTGCCGGCGATGACGTGGCCTCCCTGTCCCGCACTCTGGACGTCTCTGATACGACCTCCTGTGCCCGTGGTGGCGCCGCTGAACGGAGCTACGCCTACGAGTCAGACGGGTTGGATTAGGAAAAAGTGAATAAACATTAGCCTAGTTTCAAAATGTTTTCCAATATGTTGTCTTCTATGAAAAGACCATGTATGAAAACTGTCGGCAGACTACTTGATTACTCTAAGAGAATTATTCATACGGCATTTGTATTGGAATGATTCTGCACCAAACTGTTTGATCCATATAAGCTGTTCATCACTGTAATCACTACAAGCGGTTTAACACACTTCTGAGGAAACTACTCCTAAATGAGACTTGTATTATACTGCAAGAGTTGTGTGAGAGTCTGTAAACATGTTTTGATGTAGTTTTACTGTTGTTAAACACAGCAACCATTTACTTCAATTCATCAAGACTTTTATCCATTTTCTGGTTCTCTGTGAAGGCGTGCGAGAAAAACAACATTTTCTTCAAGAATTCAAGGCAACACAGAGAGTAACTGATATAACATTGATTATTTTGGGGTTGAAGTGTTCCTTTAAGTTGCATCTAAACACAATATTTTGTGCGTCCTGACCTGTCGGGAAGTTGTGCGTCTCTGCGGTGAAGATGACGTGTCTTAGAGAGTGCCGTGTCTCATAAGGACTGGCTCTGGATGGATCTTTTGGGTAAACACACTCCAGCTTCATGCCTACAATACCACTGGAAACACACACACACACATTTCAAATTGAGTCAGTGTGAACAGAAACACACACACACACACACGCACACACACACACACACGTACGTCACTCCTACCTGCTGTTGTCGCAGAACTTGATGACGTTGTTCGGGTTGCTGTGCCGCTGGGTGTCCATTATGAGACTGAAAAGAGTCTCGTTCTGCTGCTGCCCGTCGATCTCCATCCGCCCCCGGAAGAACCAGTGACGGCTGTGCTCGCTGCGGCACAAAGAAAAGACCGGAGAATAATAAAAAAAAAAAAACACAGGAATAACATTTTTTTTAAAGCTATAGAGCTCAACACAAAGCGCTCCCGCTAATCTCTTTGTTGCAGACAGTCCCCACCTGTTGGACTGGGCCAGGTCGAAACACTCCACACTGGTGGGGTTCCTTTCAACCCTCTGGAACATCGACGTGTAGTAGTCCAGATCCCAGGAGTCAAAGGCCAGACCTGCAACAACAACAACAACACACATTATGAGATTCTGCTGCCAGAAAGCAAACGCCACCAAAGATGGAAAAACATTTCATGTGAACGTCTTCGTCTGTAGAATTTGATATTTTTTTAAAAAGCACCACAAACATGAACTTACAAAGAAGTTTGCACTCACTTAACACAAGATGCAAAATGAATCAAACCTGAAACACATTCACATGCACAGAGGATGTTCTGGTTATAAGCATCACACAGTATCCTAAGATTGCATTATTTCACCCTCACAGAGACAGTTCATTATAAAGGATAATTACTTTAACATTCACTGCTTTAAGATGATGGCGTGTCACCTAAATTAATTTGTGTCCCTTATATTAAACTCCACGTTTAACTCCAGTGGGGAAACTAAATAGTGAAACCAACCCTTGAGGGGGAAATAATGAGAAAATCCAAGATAGGCTCTTTTTAATTACATCCTCACCTCACCGGTTGAGCACGACAGAGACGACAAAGTGTGCACTGAAATTATCCTCCTCTGGTTGAGCAGCTTGAGAATATTAATGAAGCTGGGCAGCAGTGAATCAGCAGAGCGTGAACATAAGCACAGACCGGCCGTTCTGTCGCGCTGCGCAGCTTCAAGTTAGAAAGCTGTGCGCGTGAAGAGGAACGACCGGTCGCACAACTGTCCACGGACGTCCACTAAAGGGCTTGTGTGATGCCACCGACAGGCTCGCGTTGGTGTTATAAGTGTCTGACAACATTATGGAACAAACCTGAAAGAGAAATTAAGTGTTTCTCTTTGGCTTCCACTTTATCGGGTCCGTTTGTTGTTCTGTCATGTGACACAACCGTGAAGGAGATCACAGAAAGTGTAGCTTAGCGTATATTTAGCTGATTTCGATAATGTGGGAACGAGACTTCTCCTGGAGTGAGACTTTGTTAGACACGATAACAAACAGATCAAGCTAACGGTAAAGGAAAGACGTTTTTATATCTCTGTAGGGTTCTTCCCAGAATGTTGTCAGACACTTATAATAATCTGAGTCTGTCAGCAGAAACAAACACCTTTAGTGGACGTACATTGACGGTGATTGACGTTAATGACTGTTTAGTGTCTGCAGTCGTCTCTCAATACTGGATATAAAGTTATATAATTGTTGTCCTCGTTAGTCTCTCAGACACAGAAACATGAGAAAATACCAAAGTTATCCCTTAACATCTTTACTCAGATCTTTTATTTTTAGCTTTCTTACTTGAATAAAAGCACCAAAGTATTTGTGACAAAATCTACATTTTGTCACTATGTCACAAAGAACATGGTGTCACTGTCCAGGTTAACAAATACCAAAGTTGTCTTTCATGATCATTTGAAAACGTCTCACTGGGCTCCAAGAAACTGTGATTGACATGTTTCACCATCTTCTAACATTATGTAGACAACTACAGACGCAGCCATGTATTCAGGATTAATTCACAATCAGAACACGTCGCAGCCCTCGAGAGGTAGTAGAAAGTAAAACGGTCGTTTTGAGTTATGATTACACTGTTGACCCAAAACTCAGCAGCAAATTCAGATTATTTTACTTATTGTCTCTTTAGAAAAGAGGCAGCTGGAAACATGATTTCTGAACCAGTCAGGTTCACGTCTCCAGCGTCTACATCCTTCATCAAATGAAACCGTTTGTGTTTCATTAGCTTCCACATCACATCAGACACACTGAAAACATTCATGCACGTGCAACATAATCAGCAGCAGCACTGCTGTCCTGTGACTTCAACCAGCCAAGTAATAAAGTCACGCATCATGTGACATTATTACCTCCATCAGATAACACAGTGGACTGAGGCACAAGGGAGAGAGAGGAGAGAGGAAGGTTCAGTCAATCAAGAGGAGACTCGGTCCGAGTTACACAAGATGAAGAGGAGACCAACTGTCGAGAGAGGCTCACCCAGGTCCTCGTTTGCCGTCTCCAAAGCTGCCCGACCCTTCCCCAGGACGTCCACCTCAAACACCGGCTGCGGTTTGGTTTCCACGCTGAAGGAGGTGATGGGATGTGGATAGATGCATTCGGTCATGCTGTCGTACAGACACTCAATCAGCCTCTCTATGTCTCCGTTGAGCTCCTTCACGCTCTCTCCAGCCTTTGGCTGAAGGGTGAAGAGAGATGGACCTCATCCGACTGAGCGACATGAAGCGAAAAACACAATCCTGAATCTTTAGAAAATGAGTCGTCTTTGTTTGAGCACACCTTGATTAGGAACCTGCGAGACAGCTCGACCCGCGTGACATTAGAGAGGCCGGCACTCTGGCAGATGGACACGGTGTTGGTGGACCAGGCGGTAGAGAAGTTCAACCTGAAGAGACAAACAACAAAAATAATAGTTTAAAAGACATTTTCTTTCTAAATGTCTGATGTTTACAAAGTCGATGAGTGATCGTGTTTAATAATCGTGATTATGATTTTTGCCATAAGTGAGCAGCTCTGTCTATACTCGCACAAAGGACTTTTCTCCAAAACGAATTAACTGCGAAGAATTAAAAAGACGAGTATAACCAGCAAAACGCCATAGACCAACCTCAACAGTAACATCACATCTCATATTTGTGGACTACTTCATTGCCGTTATATAAACCCTATGAAGGAAGAAGTCGAGTATCAAACGCATTATGAAGAAATGAAGGTTGAATATCTTGTAAATTGATTTGGCTGCAAAATATTAACTCAAATGTAGATTTTTAAGACTTCCTGTTTCTAAAGCATCTACGTCATGTCTGAAGAGTGCTGATCGCCTGGTTACAAACATTCACAGTCTGTGATTACGTCACTTTCTGGCGCTCACACCTCGCCCCGGCCTCACTGAACCACGCTTAACTGCAGGACAAAAGCAGAGCCTCAGCGCATAATAGAGCTCATTTATTAGACTGTGCGAGTACCTGGGTCCAATCTCCACCAGTTTCTCCTCGCCGCCCTCAGTGAGGTTTGGTTTGTCAGACAGCGGCTCGGCCTGCAGGGGAGGACGGAACAACCAGAGGAGAACCTCCGTCTGCTCGGCACCGAGACTCTCGCAGCCTACAGCAGAAAAACAACGAGGACATTGGGCTTTTTTTTGCCCTTTTTGAACAATTTCTGTGAGTCCACATTTGTGAAGACTTTGCCTGAGGGAATTACCCACAATTCATAGAAATTTGACATTAAACATGTGGTTACCAGGGGGAGTAAATAGATTATTTGACATTTAAGTCTCATCTCGTGAGGCAAGAGCCTGGAAAATGTTCAAATAAGTGAGTAAAAAGTATAAAATAAATACCCAGAATTGTACAGAACATGCAAAGTGTTGTCCCGTTTGTATTTCTACCATTTCGAGCCCTCGCAGCCTCTCACACTCAACCTTTGACCAGGTGATGTCAGTTAAGCCCCTGAGGGTTCAGGGTTCAAGGCTTTAGTGGGGACCAAGAGGCGGAAGTCTTAAAACCTGCATTCTCTCTACTGACCAGCAGGGGGCGACTCCTCTGGTCGTATAGAAGTCTATGAGGAAATGACTCTACTTCTCTCTTGATTTATTACCTCAGTAAACATTGTAAACATGAGTTTATGGTCTCAATCTCTAGTTTCAAGTCTTCTTCAATACAACATGATGTTCATTCAGTAAATGATAGTCCATTTAGTGTCAAACAGACCATAAAGCAGGGGATGCTTTAGGGCGGGGCTACCTTGTGATTGACAGGTCGCTGACGCTACCAGAGCTGTTTACGGCGTCTACGTCACTCCTCCTCAGTCCTAATATGGTCACTTCTGTTCACTGGTTGCAAAAGCCAAGATGACTTGGTGGGGACACTGACTGGGCCACAGCGTCTTCACCACCGACCTACGAGGTGTCTCACACTCACCCGTCAGCTCCACGTTGTAGCACAGCTCCGAGGCGATGGACAGCTGGGGGTGGAGCTTGGCGGCTCTCTGCACGGCTCGCCCGTTCACCACTTCGTTACTGTAGAACCTCACTACCGCCATGACTAACGGAGAGACGGGAGGAATAAATACAGTTTAAAACAGAGACCACAAAGATCCATCACAGGATGTCAAAGATGATGAATTGTAGGCGATGACATTGATTAACCGCGTCTAAATATTCTGAAGTGATGGATCACTGAAGTCAAAGCTGGTGATTAATGAAACTGACTTTTATCTCCAGATCGCTTCAGGTGAAGAAGACAAACCAGTGATCAGACATCAGGCCTCCAGAACGAGGATGTACGATCACGTCACACAGGTTTTATACTCTGTACATCGGCTCCCTGTTTGTTTTAGCACCGATTCCAACATCCGATTACCTTTAAGGCTCCAGATGATATTTTAGGCTATTTAATCACATATGAGCCTTTGTGGAGTTCTAGATCCTCGGGCAGAGGTCTTCTGTCTCTTCTGAAGTCCACGATTTAAACTAAAGCACCAGAGGCTTTGGAACGACCTCCTCAATAAGGCTGTCTGAGTCAGTGTCTTCTAAACACGTACTTTAATTAGAAGTCATAACCTGATTTTGTCAGAGCTGTCCGATTCTTTTATAGGGTTTTAATTTCTTGTTTATTATTTTGCCGGGATTTATGTATTTTATCATTCATTTTGGTATTTTATTTCACTTTTAGATGTTCTATAAATAAATGTATTTGTGTGATTATGATGATTATTATTCAGATAAAGGGAATGTGTGGAGGTAATTCTGCAGTAGTCTGATGGTAGATCAACCTAATCTCAGTTTATATACTTTTGACTCAAAGGTGAAAAAAAAAAAAATCACGACAATAATCTAGATCTAATCTAAATTATTCTATAACATGTTTAATAAGCAAATAGTACTTTATATATTGCATTACTGGTTGTAAACTGTATTCTCTTCTGTGCAATTGTAAGTTTTGATGCTGTATTTTTTACTAATAAGTCTAAAGGCAATAAAGACTAAATTGTTAATTAAAAAAACAGTTTATCAGTGCTTTCATTTAACCAAATGAGGCTCTTATTCCAAACAGCCCTGTGACTTTATGCCTCTTTCATTATGAAGATGATTGTGTATCCGA